AGTGTTTGCTTTGTCGCTTCTGGCCTACTGAGAAACCATGGCGGTTCAACCATGGCAGCCTCCATAGAAGAGGACCCGTTCCCTCTTTAGATAAGAACAACTCATTCTAAGGTAACAAAAGCACAACGATTCTATTTTCAGGCAATTATACAGTAATGAAAACATACCGATGAATAGTATCTTCTAACACTGCCAATAAACTATCCGATAATTATACACTGGACCTTTAAACACAGATTTTCACATAGGATCTGAAAAGATGAGATATGGAGAACGCAATTATAGTGTTTTTAATATGGAGCAGAAACTTTCAACCTAAAGCTTTTCTTCATCAGATTTTTAGATATTTAACTCTGAGGAAAATCCACACCAAAAGTTAGTATATTTGTAATATATACAAGAATGCTGCAATAGCAAGCAAGTTATGGTAAGATTGGCTGACAACAACAACAACATTGGCACAGTACATACACAAACTCAAACTTTCTCAGAGAAAATTCAAAGATAAAGATAGTGCCAAATTCCTTTCAGACACATACAGTACAAGTGTTTTTAGATCTGATGATTTCTAGATACTGGCAGGACAATATCATTTGTCATCGCTATATAGCTTGGTAAGTTGAGATTTGACAAAAATGACTTGGTTAGGGATGGGAAAAGATTGTGGTTTGAGTTAAAATAACTACTTGGTTAGGGCTAGGAAACAATCGTGGTCATGTTTAAAAGAAACCAATGTCTGCAGGAAACAGCAGCCTCCCTTGTCGAAATCCGTCGTTTTGTTGATCCACCAAACCACCCAGACCTCCTACCTCGCCAGACTTTGTGGCTCTATAACAACTTAACACAACCTACACCTTTGCTCCTTATTGCCACTTTAACGTACACGTTGTTTTTAGGCGTTTATGCTGCTGTTTTCATTAGGAAAGTCTTGCCAAATGAAAAAAATGCAAACAGAAAAACGGGCATGTTTTCTTAACTGTCATGTCTTCTTGGGTGTTAAAGTTCACGTGCCCCAGCCCTGCATCGCCCTGTATAACCATCTTTCTACTTTCCGACCCCTCACCCTAGTATTTAAAAGAGCTTAAAACTGATGAATAGTAAAGGCAGGAGCAGTGCAGCGTGGTGAGCAGAGCCCCAGCCTGTGGAAACAGGCCTCAGTGTGGATGACAGGCCTAACGAGCTAAATATAGCCTTCTGGGTTATCTCCTCTGTGGGCGCAGCGAGTCCGTTGTTGCTTCACATTATTTACGTGTCTGTGCGTGCACCCTCTCTCTCTTTCCCTCTCTATCTCTCTTTCTTTCATTTCACGCCCCCCCACACAAACACATCACTATCTCTTTCTCTTGCACTCTGTGTTGCATACTCTCTTTTCTCTCTCTCCATTTCATCCCTTCACAGCATCTTTTTTCAACCCTCCATCTCTCCTATGTGCAATTCTGTCCCCTGGTATCTCTCTTTCTCATTCCGTCTCTCTCATTCCTTTTCAGCATTTTTACACTCTCTCTCTTTCCCTCTGTATCTCTCTCTCCAGCTTCTATCACTCTCTCCCTCTCCTCTTTTATTCTCTTTATCTCTGCCTCCCTTTGTATCCTTCCCTCCCTCCCTCAGCAGCTCCCAGTTTTTTTTTCTGTCTGACACTCTCTGAGCCTTTTTTCTCTCAAGCTATCTTTCCCTTTGAGCCTCTCTTTCACTACCCTCCCTCTCATTTTCTCTCCTTCTTTCCCTCCCTCTCTTTTCTGAGCCTCTGAAGTAGCATAGCACTGTGTTAGGCATCCACTACACCACAGTGAGCCCCAGTTCAAATATTATAGCCTGGAGTGCTAACCATCTGCCATGCTAACCTATATGGATATGTCATCTGCATCTGCAGCTCCCTGACCTCTGGCCATAAGGAGCAGTTAAAGCCTAGTGGTGAATTTAAACATGAAGCAGAAAAGACTCTCCCTCTCTCCCTACTTAGTTCACCAGTGGTGCAGTGGTCACAAAGGCTGTGACATTTAATATGCACAAAGTTTGATCAAATGTCATCCACTGCCCCATGTCTGAAAGACAAGGAAATGCATATATGCTGACAGGCCACCCCTCCTATTGAATAAGATTGGGTGGTGAGGATTTGCAGTGGAGAAGGTGGATGTTTGTCTGGGCTGTTTGTTCCACACAGTAATTCTGTGAAACCACAGCTAAAATTGGGAGTGCCCGAGATTAGAGAAGTGGGTGTTTTTTGAGTCTGTGGTTTGCAGTGGTTTTTCTTTGTGTGTGTTCTGCACTGTATCATATTTATGCACACATAATTTTTCTCATATTTTTTACCATTTTGAAAAGCATAGTGAGGATATTTTTATGAAGTGAGGTCAGTTTGAGAAATCCTTCTGTTTTTAAAAGGACCAGTTGAGGGCTGGTGTATGGTTAGTTTAAGATCCTAAACAAAACCTCAACAAGTTTTTTGGCTTTGCAGTTGTGTGGATTTGTTATTATACAGTACGTGATTTATTCAAACTGCCAGAAAATGCAATAACTTCAAAATGTAATAAAACATCCCTGTATCGGGTTGAGGATGTGATTGGGAGATTATGTCGTAACTTAAGTCTAAGTATACAGAATGATTAACTGAGCTTTTGTAATTTTTGCTGTACAGCAGCCACTTTGGTGACAACTTAAGGACAATTTGAATTTCCCTTCACTTCTCAAGGCTGTTCTTGAGTCCGTTGTTTTAAAGCAGGGGTCTCCAATGTGGTAGCCTATAAGATGCCCACAGAGGATGTTCTGTAATCTCAATTTTGTTTTTTCATGATACTTCCAAAGAAGTGTACTTTGTCGAAACATTTAAATACATTACTGATGTGTTTTTATTCATTAAAAACGTATATTGAGACTAGCCTTTATTACATGTCCTGAGTTAAAACCATGCTCCCTGTTTTTGCCCTCCTGCATTAGGCGTTCATTCTTTGTGTCCTAAATGGTGGCCTAAGCCCTTCCTGAAACTCTGGGTTCCACTATTGGATTTTCATGATCTATCAATAAATTGGTTTATCTTGATTAGGCGAGCTGAGTAAATATACTAAAATTTAACATCAATAGATCTCTCATAATCCTTCAGTGATAAGACCCGGACAAGAAAAAAAGTAACATCCACATCCGCAATTCCAAACCAAATTGGTTCAACCCTGTATAATAAAATGACTAAAGGTGAAAATACACACCGCTATGTTATTCTATTGAAAGCATCAATCTAACATGGATGTTTGTGAAGTATTCAGAGTATCACTCCTGACAATTTTCTCCCTTTTGGCAGACCTTACTCTCAGAAACACTGGAGACCCCTCCTTTAAGGACACCATCATAAGATGAACAGATTGAGAGCAAGACGAATGGGACGACAAGACAGAAACAACAAACATGTCTCCTAGTGAGCTACACTGTGTTGACTTCTTGTTTTACTTTGGTGATAAAGCCACTGAAATGTCTAAGTCTGACATGCTAAAATGTAGTTAGAGCAACAGTAGCAGCAAACAGAGAAGAGTCACAAACTGACTCAGTTACACAGCAAAATCTACCTATAAGGTTTGTTAGTTAACATTAGCCACCACAAGCTA